ATATACATAAATCCACACACACACACACACACACACACATATATATATATATATATGTATATACATGCATATATACTGGCTGGGGTGTTTATTCTTTATCTCAGTTGCATACGTCACTCATCACAAGAGTATGTAAGAGACTCTCGACGACGCTGCCACAGACTGGCACTGGAACTCCATACGCCATCACAGAGCGACTGAATTGCATGGAGGAATCGCAAGTATAAGACTTATAGATGTGTTTTAATAACTTTGTTTGCACGTTTGTAAACCGTTACCAGCACGAGGATATGCACGAGGCTTTCGGCGACACTACTGCAGACAAGAACTGGGTCTCTATACGAACTCTTGGGGGGACTCAATCTGGAGAAAATGCAGCAGATTGATATTCCCGAAGCCATCACAGCGCAATTTCTAACGGGGTTTCCGGAAAACTGGATGGTACTTGCGGAAGAATATTTCGGTAATGCGCCTCACCGTATGAGATATTTTGCGTACATATCCACATACACACACACACATAAGCTCACTCACTCTCTCACTCTCTCTCACACACACACACTCTCTCTCTTTCTTTCACATACACACACATACACACACAAGTGAATACTTCAACGATTATAATATGGTTGATTTCTCTCTCTCTCTCACACACACACTCTCTCTCTTTCTTTCACATACACACACACAAGTGAATACTCAACGATTATGATATGATTGATTTCTCTCGCTCTCTCTCACATACACACACACACTCTCTCACTCTCTCACTCTCTTTCTTTCACATACACACACACAAGTGAATACTCAAACGATTATGACATGATTGGTTTCTCTCGCTCTCTCTCACATACACACACACAAGTGAATACTCCAACGATTATAATATGGTTGATTTCGGTTGTGCACAACTTACTAGTGGAAGGGTGATTGATTGACAAGAGTATCGAATAGTTTACGGCCTTATCAATCTTGCAGTGGCTATGACACAAAGTGCGTTGCGACTGCTTCTTTCAATGCTATCGATGAAGCGAGTTCAGGTTAATTCTTTTTATTATTACAGAGGGATAACGTACATTGATCTCGGTTAGGCACCTCGTAGTACGGCGTTGGGCTAGCCGATGTTTCATTGGCTGTTCCATATAGTGCCAGAAGAGAGTGTGTTGAAGCGTCGTGGCTGGGTCACCCGTGGTACTGAGAAAGTCCTGGTAAACGAAGGCCCAGTGCGGTGATGACTGGGGATAGAGTGGGATGAGTGCAGGCTCATGCACTGGTGTTGTAGGGTGTGTGCACCACTACTTATAAACCCTGAAGACCAACTATAAACCCTGAAGACCAATGCTGCGTTGGAACGTGATGAAAACCCTGAACCCATGACCCTAAACCCTAAACTCCACACTCTACAATCACTTCTCCCAATCCCTGAACACCAACGTTAGGCAGTACATCTGCCAGCGGCAAGTGAGCTTGATCTCAAAACCCTAGCTGCCTGAACCCTAAACCCTAAACCCTAAACCCCGTTATTACTACACAGACACCCTCAAAGCCAGCGCTCAGCAGTATGCCAGTGACTCTGAGGACGAACGTCATGCCAGAGACATAGAGAGCTTTGCGCCCAATACGAAACCCGAAGAGAAGGAGAGCCACGCCACTGCAGCAGGCGAACGGGTGCCTGCTGGAGGTGAGTGAGGCAGCACCCAGGGATAGGCGATAGGGTGTAGGGTGTAGGGTTTTTGCACGGGGGAAATAGGCTATGGGAAAAGGTATCGTAAAATATAGGGTTGTGAAATAGATAGTTAGCATTATTTGGCGTGGTGGAGTGGTGTAGGGCTAGGGTTCAGCAGAGATCCAGCGGATAATTGGTGGTTTAAGTGCTTTAGGTTTAGAGTTTACGCGGAGGAAACGTGAGTGATCCAGGGTGTAGCGCTGAGGGTCAAGCGCACAAATCACTTGACTGAAGCTGAGTAGCCGCTTGTCGTTTGTACATGGTAGGTATCGCGACTGCCCACGAGGGTATGAGTTCCTCAACCTGTATACTTCGAGTGCTACCTGTTTATTTGGTCTAGGCCTACTATCAGCTGTGGTACGTATAAGCATGCGTATATCCCCCCGCACCACATCACCCGCTGGACCCTCTTGTTCTGCTCGTGCATGTATTATACTGTACGTTTAACGTTTACCGTCCATATGCTCAAACGGATCGAACACTGCTCTGGGAATACACTCTCTCAGAAGTCCACGAGCGCGAGAAAGACATTGACGCTGTGCCTAGCAGTGGGGACGAAGAAACTTCTGTGGCCACAGAGAAGAGCACCTCCGTCAAGGTAAGGTATTCGTTGCGCTTGTATTACTGAATGCATACACATCTGAGCCTATGTGCTGTATAAGTATAAGTATCAGCTGGCTTTGAAGTTCTCGCTGATGCTCAATAGTTTACGAAAGTGTATATCAGACTGGGTGTGTATGTGTGTAAATGTGTGTAAATGTGTGTATACGTGTGTATGCGTGTGTATATGTGTGTACATGTGTGTATATGTGTGGCATATGGTTTGTATCGACCGCGCCGTGAGTGGTCGCCTTGGCGTATGGCACCAGCTTATTGACTATCCCACAGTTGAACGGGCAGGATACAAGAATCATGCACCATAAACTGTAGGGTATTCAAAGTATTGGTATTGTCTTGGACAAATATAAGGCCCAAGGGGTACTCTTGGAATTTATTGTTGTTACATTCCAAGCCACGGCCCTGTCCTAAAATTTTAGGAGACAAGACATCTCCCCATCCCCATCTGAACACAAACCAAACACGTCTGTCTGTGGCATTGCTATTCCGTGCAGAAAAAACCTCAGTCACCGGCAAAGAACGCCCTTAAACCCCCCACCACGGCGAGAAAAACCCCTACCAAGGTGGGAAAAACCCATACCACGGTATGTACCAAGTACATCTGGGTGCGAACCCTCCACCCCACAGTCACAGCATTGACTGACCGATTTGGTGGATGAGTAGTTCCTAAAGAGTGATGGTGGTCAAAAGAAACACCCCCCCCTCCCCCCCCCCACACACACCTTTCATCAAGCATGTACGAGCAAACCAACCCTCACACACACCTTTGATAAAGCATGTACGAGTACATGGATGAATGTGTGCAACAGACCTCAAAGCCGCCGCAAGCATGCGTTGAATCCACTACTATATATATATATATATATATATATGTATATATATATGTATATAGTTTTCTAACTATATATATATATATATGTCTACATCTGTACACGTGTTCTTTTATTGTATCGTTTAACGTCCCTATAATTCATTTCCGTTCCCAACGCGAAACGCGGCTGTAGCGCGCCACCCGCTCACACCCCGAGGTCATTGTGCCGGCGGCTACAGAACCGACTCAGACGAGTACCACGAAAAAGAGTACTACGATAAGGGTGTGTATGCTAGACACTTGTGAGCCACTTATTTAAATAGTTACATCAGCTGGTGCAGGGACAGCTGCCAATCATTGCCATACGTTGAGCATTCACAGATGTAGTCACTATCCTTTCTCCGTGTGTGTAACTCGATGTAGTGGACGAGGCATGGGGAAGGCCACGGGGTTGTTTGGCAATTGCAGGGACCATAGAACTCTCGCACAATGCTTTCATTTGCACACCCTTACCTACCCTGACAAGTGCTCCTAGTTTTGGGTTTGGCAATTGCAGGGACCACAGAACTCTCGCACAATGCTTTCAATTGTACACCCTTACCTACCTTGACAAGTGCTCCTAGTTTTGGGTCTGTTTTTGTATTTTTGTGCCAGAACAAGTGGATTTACTTGTTGTTCTATGAGTGCCATATTTTAAAGTGGACTTGCTTGTTGTTCTATGTGTGCCATACCAAGAAGTGTACTTACTTGTTGTTCTATGTGTGCCATATTAAGAAGGGGACTTACTTGTTGTTCTATGTGTGCCATATTAAGAAGTGTACTTACCTGTTGTTCTATGTATGCCGTATTTAGAAGTGTACTTACTTGTTGTATGCATTTACAACTGTTTATATATGTAGTACGGAAAAGAAATCACATTTTTAATCCATATTCCATATATTATAAAAGAGCTCATATTATACATCCATAGACTTCGTCAACATTAATCATCCGGAGGATCTCTTCACGAACATGTATCTGCCTATCTGCGGTTGCAACACAAACGTTCACACCCCTTCCTCCCACGTTTCTTGCCACGGGTTGATATCTGAAATATCATATACTATTCCACGTTCCCGTGTGCTATTGTGGTTCCTCCTACCAATGTGAGTGCTTGTTGTATAGTCCCGTCACATATCTGTGCATAACCTCAGTTTGCTATTGTGGTTCCTCCTACCAATGTGAGTGCTTGTAGTATAGACCCATCTCATATCTGTGCATAACCTCAGTTTGCTATTGTGGTTCCTCCTACCAATGTGAGTGCTTGTAGTATAGACCCGTCTCAAATTTGTGCATCTCCTCATGCATGGTTACAGAAGGCTGGGCGCGCCCGTGCGGGCAGCGATGGTGGCTCGGATCACGAGGACCGAAGAGATACCAAACGGACACGGACAAGTACCCAGTTACCGCAGGAGAATCGGGTAAGTGGGATAGGGTATACTTGTACTGATAGGTGGGGTAGGGTATACTTGTACTGATAAGTGGGATAGAGTATACATGTACTGATAGGTGGGGTAGGGTATACTTGTACTGATAGGTGGGATAGAGTATACTTGTACTGATAGTTGGGATAGAGTATACTTGTACTGATAAGCGGGATAGAGTATTCTTGTACTGATAGGTGGGATAGAGTATACTTGTACTGATAGGTGGAATAGAATATTCTTGTACTGATAGGTGGGATAGAGTATACTTGTACTGATAGGTGGGGTAGGGTATACTTGTACTGATAGGTGGGATAGAGTATACTTGTACTGGTAGGTGAGATAGAGTATACTTATACTGATAGGTGGGATGGAGTATACTTGTACTGATAAATGGGATAGAGTATACTTGTACTGATAGGTGGGATAGAGTATTCTTGTACTGATAGGTGGGATAAAGTATACTTGTACTGGTAGGTGGGATAGAGTATACTGTGATAGGTAGCCGTACAAATATCCGACAACAATAGACAACAGACAATCAGCTCGGAAAATGGCGGCACGGTGTAGTCACACAAACCTGTAAAGCCGAGGAGAAATAAGTTAGTGAGTGAGACTAAGTGTATGTTCAGTATACTATCGTATAAGTTAGTGAGTGAGGCTAAGTATATGTTCAATATACTTTCGTACAAGTTAGTGAGTGAGGCTGTGTGTATGTTCAGTATACTATCGTATAAGTTAGTGGTATATGTTCATATAGCTCAGAAGCACGAGCACAGGACCCGACTCGCCTCTGCCGAATGCGGGACGTTGAACATACATATTTGTAGAGATAGGATAGACACGAGAACATATGCGACCTACGCCAACGGAATAGGTGGTGAGTCCGCCCAAGTGTATTTGCATGCATGTCAAAAGCACAGACATAGGACAAATGGCCTCAGAGGAAGGCGATAGATAGATAGTACACGGTGGCTATGCCCATGTAAGGGGCGGTGATTCATTGCAATACGTTTGATCCCCGGAGCTGCCTGAGGCTGGAGGGTAGTGTGTCTATACCATCTACGTATCGGGCAGGTGAAGCTCTGTTGTAACAGTACATTAATCCTGTGTGTCTTCTACAGGTAATTGCTCGCGAGGCCACAAATACAGCCCAAATCACCGATCCTGAAGCCGAAATACCCTCCATAACCAAACAGAATAGTTCCCATATCCAGGTATGCTGCATTTTGATATCACATCTGTCTACAGGAGCCGTTAGCCGTAGCACATGCGAGTGCCCTGTTGTGCTGTGTGTCTTGTGCCCCTTCACAGACTTGGCTGCAGACGTAGTGCCAGAGGGTGTCTGCAGGAGATGCATTCAATGTGTGTCAAGTCCATCAATCTGAATCATCCACCGGCTTTACATCAACCTGCTTTACATCCACCTGCTTCACATCCACCTACGTTACATCCGCCTGCTTTATATCCACCTGCTGTACACCCGCCTGCTTTACATACACTTGTGGTACATTCACCGGCTTTACATCCACCTGCTTTGCGTTCACCTGCGTTACATACACCTGCTTTACATCCACTTACTGCAGATGACAATTGACTCCGGAACTTCGGAGGATGAAATGCCTCCATCGAATAAAAAGTCTACGAAAACGCCCAAAAAGGTACGAAGGATATGCCATGTCTATGTAATGTATAGTAGTGTACATGACCAAAACCAAGTTCTGCAATGATGAATCAGGCCTAGCGCTAAGACTTATGTTGTGTAAAGTGACTTGCGACAGTTATCGTATATATATATATAACAAAAATAGATATATATATATATATTTACACACACACACACACACACACACACACACAC